GTGGCGCGCGGCCCCCACGCGCGCCCCTGCGTATGTAGCGTGGCCCGGAGTTGAGTGGTATCTACTACCGAGTGAGAAAAATAACAACGAAAAGAACACGTTGTGACGTGAATAATGTTAACATCCGCTCGACATCCTCGTCCGATTGCAGGGGGTGGCCTCCTCTTCAATGCCAATGTCGGCGAAACAAACAAAGGCGTATTATGGGCCCCAGTGTCGAACGGGTTGCCTGCCCTGGAACTCGCGGGCGCCTGCCGCAACGGATGTGCTGGTGAGGTGTCGAGTGTCACCCCGCGCAGATTACACTCTCCACCTAGCTGCATTTAGATCACCCCCCCCCCCTTTTTGCTCCACCATTTGCATTGCTCGTTGGCATTCTCTCAGTTTGCGGGTCCGACTGTGTCCCCACAACGAACGTATCACGAGGCGGACGCTAATGCCAGCGCCTGTCACGACCTGGGTAGGCGAACCCGCTGAGCGGCTGTGTGCAGAATGCGGCCCACCTAGAGCATCCAAGTGCGGGGGGAGGAGACTTCTGGCAAGAGAACGTTTCGTTTGCGGCCTAACTCGCAGGACACTCATTGTGGGGGCCTCATATGGCTTTCGAGCGGTTGGTCCCACCACGAAAAAGAACCAAAATATCCCCTCTCGACACTTTTTAGGCCGCTATTTACCCCCGTGACTTAACATGGGACCGCGACCATATTGTGGACACGCGGAACTGCGTCAACTTGTAGTTGAACAGTGCTCTGTGGTTTCAGCCCAACAGGTAGGGGAGGGGGTGGAGGAGCAATTTGCAGTCCGCGACGAGTGTGCTCTTGGCAGCTCTAGTCCGCAGGAGGCCCTCCCTCCATGACCCCGCCCACCCCGCGTCCCCGCCAACCGTGGTGGAGACGATGCTCTTCATGCCCCTCCTCCCCCTCGCCCCACATGGCCACACCCTCGCGAGCCTTCGCGACGGCTCGTCAGTCGCTCCCCCGGCGCACCGCGAGACGAAGCGAACCCCGCCCGCAATCGGCGCGGGCGGCCGCCACCACGACGCGTCCCGCACCCCCGTCGACGGCATCCTCGCGGCCTGCATCACATACGCCCCTGCCCTTCGACCCGGCGTCGCCGCCTCTCTTTGGGCGGGCCTGTCACTTCTTGAACTGGCGCTTAACACCCTAAGATGGAGCGGAATTATGCGCCCAGTTTAAGACTTGGCAAGGCCCCCCACGCACCGTGCCCCAGGCCGGCCCCGGCCCTCCTCCATCAACCCCGTCGTCACCGCGGTGGAGGTCGCCTGCTGTCGGTCAGCGCGCACCACCGCCGCTGCCGCCGTCGTCGCACCTTTAGGGTCACACTGCACTTGACTTACCCGGTGAGGCTGCCCGTCATGTCTCGTGTGTAACGCGCGCGCGCGGTCATGGTCCGCGAGTAAATGCGGTGAGGGGTCATCCCTTTGATCACCAGTGTGCCGTGCATAAAGGCAGTCGGACGCACGCCTGTATGCGCGGTGCACCGGTGCTCAGGGGCGACTGGGGGCTCGCTGCATCTTTCAGAGTGGGTTGGGTGCTGGTGCGACGCGACCCTCGGGTCGGGGACGACGTGGATCCCGCGGACGTAGACGCGTGTCACTCGTTGAGAGCCCCGCTGGGTCCGCGCGCGTGTGCTTCTGCACGACGTGGAGCGCGTTCGGCCACTGAGGAGCAGGGAGGCTGGGAGCGCTGGGAGGCGCGCCTTAGGAGTCGAGGGGGGAGCGCGGGGGCGGGGCAGCCTGCAGCCCTAGACCGGCGCGGCGTCTGTCACGCGCGGGGAAGTCCACAAAATCTACCGCTAAGACCGCGCGCGCGCGCGCGTGTGTGTGTGAGGGTGGTGGGGGGTGTAGTGGCCGTGGTTTCGACTGACTTTCACGCTCGCCAGCTCATTTAATGTTTGAAAGGTCAGGTCACCCCCCTTATGCCCTTTGCCAGTATGTTTCTGGACCACTTTGATACCTCCGCTGATTATTTCTTCGCGCAGGAAGTGTCGTCTCTCGCCGTGACGCCGGGTATGGTTGGGAATGCAGGTCCT